AGGACTCGTGCCAGAGTGGAGCAGACCAGGAACAGCGCAGAACTGTAACACTTTGGCTGGGTAAACTTTCCCTTGCTGGAGCAGAATCGTTACACTCTGAGAAAGCTGGGCAGAGCTGTACCGGTTCTCCAGAGCAGAGTGGAGCAGACCTGTAACAACCTCACTGGGAAACCCTCCTGGCTAAAGCAGAGCGGTTAAATGAAGGACTCTAACACTTTGCTGGGGAAATTGCACCCCCACTGGGCCAGAACTGTAACACCTCTGTTGGGATACCTTTTCTTTTCCAGTTGTAGGCAATCCTGGGCTTCCCACTGCCATGATACCTTTCCCTTCTAAGCTGTAGAGATTCCTTGGCCTGTGACTGCAAGGATGCTTTACTACCAGGATACCTTTCCCTTCTAAGCTGTAGAGATTCCTTGGCCTGTGACTACAAGGATGCTTTTCCCTTCAGAGCTGTAGGTATTTCTTGGCCTCTGACTACCAGGATACCTTTTCTTTCTGAGCTGTAGGTATTCCTTGGCTTCTGGCTGCCAGGATACCTTTCCCTTCAGAGCTGTAACCCTTACACAGATACTAGTAAATAATGACAAGTTGATTTTAAAAGTTCTATGGAAAATAAAAAGACATATAATAGTCAACAAAATACCAACAACAAGGTGAAAGACACAGAGTGGGAAGATAATCCAGTTTTAAGGCTAACTATAAAGCCATAGTAATCAAGTCAATGTGATATGTGAAAAAAAACAATAGATAAACAGACAGGAATCCATAATCATCCACACACAGTCAATTAATCTCTGAAAGGAAAATGAAGATAACTCAATAGAAAAATGGTAGTAATTTCAACAGTGTTAGAACTAGTCAGCGACACACAATAAAATGGATCAATACACAGACCTTAATGTCATTCACAAAAAGAATCAACTCAAATGCATAACAACCCTATATATGAAACCAAATTTTAAGAGATAATATTATATAGAAAATCTGGGTGTCCTTGGGTTCAGTAATGATTTTTCAGGAATACCACCAAAAGCATGATCCTTCAAAAAAAAAAAAGTGAAAAGAAAAGGAAAAAAAAGTGCTAAGTTGGAATTTACTAAAATCAATAAAAATCTTTCTGCAAAAGACACTGTTAAGAGAATTAAAAGACAAACTACACTCTACAGAACAAAATAATAAAAAGGAACACTACCGTTACAAAATGGGCAAAAGACCTAAGCAAACATCTCATGAAAGAAGACAAAGAGCAAATTAAAACATGAAGACAGTGCTATGTGTTTTTATGGAATCACTAGTTAAAACAGAAAGGAGGCCCATTCCAAACCTTTATGACTGAAATCCAAAAAGCCAGTGATGACAGTAACATGCCGCTGAGGATGTAATGTAGGGAGCTGGTGCACTGTGGACATTCATGTGACTCAGTATATCCACCAGTGAGAAGTTCAGCAGTCTTCTACAAAATGAAACATGGACTAACCCTATGACTCAGCGATCATGCTGTGAAACTTGTACTAAGATGATTGTGAAATGCGAATTCATACAAAACACCTGTGCACAAATGCATACAGTCTCCGCAGTCTTCCTTGACAGAACTTTGAAGAGACCAAGATGGATGGACAAATTGTGGAGCCCTCATGAAATAGAATATCATGCAAAATAAAAACAACCAACCAACGACAAACACAGAAGTGTCATACGTGCACAGTACTGAGTCATAAGGGCCACTGTGAACGGCTTCATGCAATAATGACAACCTGGAAGAAGCAAACAGTAGAGTACAAACACACTGGTTGCTGGAGGTCATGGGTATGCACAGATGAAGAACGTGGGTGTACAGCAAGTGAAACTGCTCATCATAGTGCCACAATAGTGGGCATGTTGCACTGAGCACATCACCACCCACAGTACTGGACAAGGTCCGTTCTAACAAATGCTATGAACTTAACTTGGTAACAACAACTAAATACTGGACCTTCAGCTACAACTATTATACCTAACTAATGCAAAACAGTACACTAAGGGAGAGACTTCATGTAATTCAGCAGGCCAGCACATGCTCACCATGCCTGAATCCCAACATACATACACACACAAACCAGAGAAATTATGACTAGAGAGTAAGGAGGGCATATGGTAAGTATCTGCTCCAGTTCTCTATGCACCAACACCAAAATTCCCTTAAAAAGGTATAATGTGAGCAGAAGGGTAGATGGGAAAAGGAGAGGGAAAATCAGAAAAAGTGAGAGGCATAGGAAAGGAAACTGAATATGATCAAAACACATTATACACCTGTATGAAAATGTTATAATAAAACCATTATATATACAATTATATTTTTAAAAAAATAGTGTATTATATAGTCTAATAAGAAACAAAAGCCTATTCATTTTTAGAAAGCATTTTGCTGGGTGGTGGTGGTGGTGTACACCTTTATTCCCTGTGAGTTCAAAGCCTGCCTGTCTACAAAAATAGTTCAAGGACAGCCAGGGCTACACAGAGAAATCCTGTTTCAAAGAAACAAAAACAACAACAGCAAAAATCCAAACAAACAAAAAAAAAAGAAGAAAAGAAAGAATGAGAGAAAGAAAGAAAAAAGAAAGCATTTCAATATTAAAAAATCAAGACATACTCATAGTTTCTAAATCCCTAAGAGGAAATGGCATTTAACGATAACCCTTGATGGGCTAGTGACAAGTTAAAAATGTGACTAGCCTTGAGTCAAAAGAAATCACACCTGCCTGCTGTGCACAGGAAGGCTAACAATCACCAACTCGTTAAGGCTCTGTTAACTCTACACCACTGGCACATGAAAAAGCTTTCTATTATCTATAGATTGTAAGATAGTTCTTTAAAACTTCATTTAATGTAAAAAAAATTATAATTCCAGTCAGAACTCACCATCCTTCATATATATATAATACACATATATATTATTTCCCTCTCATATACATATATGAAATAATATATATATGAAAATAATACGGCAAGAGACCTTTAGCTTCTTTTCCTTCTTTTGGAGAGGCAGGCATTCAGTAGGAGGTATGAGAAAAGACAAGCTGAGGGCTCCGGTGGCATGGAGCATGCATCTCCACTAAAGCATCCATCTCAGTCTGTTCAGACTCTGTAAGAAGAGACTACATACCAGACAGATGTCAACATTTATCTACTTCCCAGCATTCTGGAGGATGGCAAGTTTAGGATCTAAGAGTGATGGATGGTGTGAGGGACGGCTCCCTGGTTCTCACTGAGTCCTCATGCAGTGAAGAGGAAAGCCCTCTTTTGAACCTTTTCCTTTCCTTAAAATTAACATTCCTATACATGCACTTTACACTCCCAAGACTCAAGCACCTCCCAAGGCACCACCTCCTAATACATGCTCCTGGGGGTTAGACATACAGCATGGGAATTTGGGGAAGCCACAAACACTCAAAACAACAAAGCATCTATCTCTTGAGTTGTAACCAATGTTGACCACACCGAAACTGTTAGAATGCAGAGGCCACCACTGACTTACTTTCAGATTAACCAGAGGAAAACCTCAAAAAATACTGAACTGAACTAGAAGACATCAAAGGTATTAATGGCAAGCAACTAAAGAACTCTAAAGCTATTTTTAAAAATGAAGCTAAATTTTCATATAAGGAAGTATATCCAAATGAATAACGTATTATTTTTATTTTAAAGTATAAGATTAAGGCCTGGGGAAAAGCCAAAGGGCCAGTCAAGAAACCTAAAAGAAAGATAACACTAAGTGAACCACATTTTTAGAAAATCCTGGAACAAGTAAATTTTTTAAAAGTTTATAGCTATTAAGGAAGCCTATTTCCATCTGAAATAAGAAAGGGAGGAAAAGTTATCAAACCGAGAGGATATATGAAAAAAGTGTTCTAATGGCTTCAATCACTTATAAACTCTACCTCATGAGATAAAGCACCTGCTAAAAAGCAGACTGGAAGTGAATTTGGGGGGCACTGAGTAACAGGAGGAAAATTGGAAGCATCACTCAGAGCATAGTTAGGACTTGGGAGGCGGCACACGTGTCTGTAAGCAGCGTGACCACGGTGGAGAAAGGAAAGATGTCGCTTACAAGAAAGCTGAGGCGCAGTAGCAGTTCCTTCTGTTGTGGCTGTAGATGTGGCTGTGTGTGCTCTTTCCCCTTGAACAGAACCCCCACACCTCAGGTGACGAGAGAACGATGAGAGCAGTTAACAGATACAACCTTCTCTCACCAAAATATCAATCATTCCGTGGTCACATGCCCATCAATTAATCTGATCCAATTCCTCCTTTATCTAGAACCCTTCTGCTTACACAGGACAGCGACCTGACATGGACCGAGTCCCCACTCACACCTCATAAACTCATGGCGAAGTGAGCTCCTGCTCAGAATGCTACATGCCACTCTTGTTGTCTCCAGCATCTCTAATCATCCTGATGATTCATTCTGCTCACATATCCAAGATACAAGCAGAGAGACAGAGAAATGAGCCCCAGATTCCAAAGGAGCAGCCTGTTGAAACTCAACAGTGGCATTAGATCAAAAGTAAGCTTGTTTCCTCCCTACTCAGTATCAATGGATCTAAACTAAACTAATCAGAGCCATCCATGTATCCAAGTGACAGCTCCTAGGAGGTGAGAGACATACAAGACTTGTACCAGACTGTGGCTTTACCTCAGGAAGGAATGAGAAAAGAAAGAGGAAGAGGAATAAGGTGGGAAAGGAAAGAAGAGGGGGAGGGGAGAAAAGAGAGAAAGTAATAGCATTAACTTGTGTATGCACAGATGGATTTTTTTAAGTACTTTTCTTTCCACAGAAAAATGTCAATAGCCTTTTAAGCACTCTCGCACTGAAATGTGTGTTCTGACAGTTATGTCAAAGCCTGAATAAAAGCCTGTTCATGGAAATCATTTAAAAGAAAAGATCCAGACAAGAGGCCTGTTTTTGTCCAGGAATGAGGGTGGAACAGAATAAGCTTAGCTTTCAAAGATGGAAGTACCTCATACTGCCGGGATAGATGAAACAACTACCCTCTCTCCACTTCCCACACCCAGGCACCTAAATCTTCAGCTAAGGAGTTCTGAGGGTAGAATTTAGAGTGAGGAGGAGAACACTGGCAAAAAACAGTCACTTGTGATTCAGAGCAAAGGGAATAAAGCAGCCCCAGAATTCCAAACGAGCGCCCCTTCGGAGCCCTCTACCCCCCGACGTGTTAACCCACGGTCTCACAGATCTCAGCTCCAAACTGCTGAATCATTTCAGCAGGTGCTGTGAACCTACCTGCTCATGAGAAATAACTGTCATCCCTCGAGTAAACCATCATGTCCTTACTTCCCACTGCTAAATGGTCTGCTGCCCGTGAACAGACACTGAGGCAGGAACCCACTCCCCCTGGGAAACTGGAGGTTGAGCCAGCCAGCCTAGAAGGTCAGTCACTTTATATCTTGGCTCGAACACTAGGCCTTGGCCTTTTCAAAAGATTTTTTTTTTTCCTGAAGGACACAGAGATGCTTTCATTTCCTTTCATCAAGTTAACAACTTTTCAAGGACTCACCCACCTGCACATTCCCAACATGCACCCTCCCCCAGTTGGTATCAGGCCTGACCTGTTAGAATACTTTTCGTTCATATAGCCCATCAAAATCATTTCTAAATGATTATTAACTATGCCAAGGGAAAAAAACTTCTATTTATTAGTCTCCAGTCACGTGATGCTGATGAAAGCTGCTGTCACAATGATCTGCTGACTTTACCCACCTTAGGAAGAAGGGTAACCCCAAATCCAAAGTTGGTGACATCGAAATAAATCTCAGAGAGCCTGGAGGTTCTTCCTGAAAGCTGGTGTTACTCTTAGCCTCAACCCCACTTAAAAGAAAAAGAAAAACAGTTAATAAACCATGGCTTCAGATTCTCAAAGACACTGAAAAAAAAATTCCCTTCACTCTTAAAATTAGGGAAATGCTTGAGCTCTTCTGAGTGCTTCTGAACGCTGATGTCGGCTCTGCCTGGTTTCTGTGCAGCTGGCACAGCGATCTAGATCTTTTTACTGAAGTCCCAAGTGTCCCTGTAAGGGAAATACTTCTGTTATTTTCACTTTAGAGAAGGGGAAATTAGCACCAAAGATTTATGTTAAGTCACCACAGGCTACAAATCCCAGAGCTGCAGAACCAAGGTCTGAATAAAACCAGTGAGCCACACCTCAGTCTGAACAATCACACCCCATCAGCTTAATGGCCTTCCTTACTGATCAGATCCAGGCCACCCTATATTAAAATTATTGAATTCTGGTGTGTGTGTGTGTGTGTGTGTGTGTGTGTGTGTGTGTGTGTGTGTTGGGGGGAGTGTTTGAATGTGTGTGTATGTGTGCCTGTGTGTTGATATTACCATGATGCTTAGCCTGGTCTCAAAATCCTGGGATCAAGTGATCCTTCAACCTCAGCTTCCCAAGGGCTAGGATTACAAGTGTGTGCCCAAAACTGAAAGGAGTATTTAAAACAGCCTTGGCTGGGTGGCCCCAGTTAGTACGTTTCCTACAAAGGCCATCTTTACATAAATTATTCAGAATTGATTATTATAATTTACTCGCCCCTTCCCATTTCTGAGATACACCATGAAACAGAGAGCTCTCTCACTTACCTATCCAATCATACGCACAAAGCACAAGCATCTTTATGTACCAATGAGCCCCACAAGAATTGAAGGAAGACACAGCTGTACAGGTTACAGGTGAGACTCCCCGGCTTACACAGAGGCACACTAACCACTCTGGAGACCTCACAGTTTCTAGACTAGTCTCTGCCCTTGCTCACCTTGCATAACAGTCCTCTCAGTCGAAAGGAAAAGCATTTTATAAAATTTTGCTAGTATGACTATATCGTAACAACTTGTCTCAAAGATAGTAGGACCCAAAACGCCTTTCCTGCATTTCAAGGTCAGAAAACATCCACACAAGAAGAGATCTTCGTGATTCATTTACTGAGTAAGAAGAACCACTCCTGCAGCATCCCAGTCAAGACAGATCACCCCACATATGTTATGGACACTTCAGGTGCCAAGCAAACAACTCTCAGGAAGTCTGGTTGGTATCTTCTCACAAACTCCTACCTGCGGCTACAGCTAAACTTCAGTGGTACAGCTCTTGCCTGGTACCTGCAAGGCCTCCAGTTCAGTCTCCAACACTTCTCAGCCAATAAACCTGTCCTTAAATACACAAAATTTAGAGATATATGAGTAAACCTTTACAGACTGGCATATCATGGATTTTCTTTTCCTTACAGTAGAAGAACATTAATTTTTGTAAATATATCACAGTGTGATGTTTTAGTTACCTGTGTGTGTGTTTTCTAAAGATCAACTGTGTGCTGATTGTGTTACAGATACCCATGCTCTGCTCTTGCTTTTTATTCTTGTGTAAAGCCTAACCCTGACCCTGACCCTGACCCTAACCCTGACCCTAACCCTAAGCCTAAGCCTAATGTCCTTGTGCAGTGCTAAAAAAAAAAAAAAAAAAAAAAAAAAATCATTTTCCTGCTTTCTTGTAATCAATTACAATTTCCCTTACAGTAATTTCAGTGCAGTGAATTGATTTAACAAAGTATATTCTGTTGTAAAAGCACATTCTTCAGTGTGTTCTTAACCAACCTACTTTACTGAGGAATGTGTGCACTGTTCTTCTGATGTAAACATCTTCAGAGACGCAAGAGTAAGACCATTCGTGTTGTAATGGGGGTCCAGTTTTTGCAATGGTAAAAGTACATTAGTTTTTCAAATACGCCATTGTGCGAAGTTTTAGTCATCTGGGCATGTGTTTGCTAAAGCAGATGCTGTGGACTGTTAACATTACAGGCACTCATTCTCTACTCTCCTGTTCCTTTTTGTTATAATATTAACCATGACTCTAACTCCAATGTCATTGTGCAATGCTACAATAATCAACTCCTGTGCCCTGCTTTCCTATACTAAACACCACTTCCCTTGCTGTATTTTCCAGAGTGGTGCATTGCTTTAACAAAGTACTTGCTATTGTAAAAGTTACAGCAGTTTGCCCTCTATTCTGAACAAACCCATTTTACTTAGAAATGTACTCATTGCTCTTCTGATGCAAGCAACTTCACAGTTTCAAGAGTAAAATTGACTACCTTGTTGTAAATGAGATTGAGTTTTCCCTGCAGTAGAAATACGTTGGTTTTTGCAAATGCACCATTTTGCAATGTTTTAGTCAATTGGGCCTGTAGTTTCTAAAGAGGTCAGTGTGCTGCTAAAGTTGCAGATACTGATACTCTTCCCTCATATTCCTTTCTTATTCTAACCCTAACCATAACACTCACCCTAACCCAAATGTCGTTATGCAGTGCACCTATATTGCTATTGTATTACTCATGAGCTGTGCTTTCTTGTGAGTAATCACATTCCCTTATGTACTTCTGTGTGAGCGCATGGTCACAACAGAATTCTTGTTGTTGTAAACATACTACTGTTTTCAATCGGTTTTTTAAAAACTCACTTTACCTAGCAATGCATGCTCTGCTCTGCTGATGCAAACAACTTCAGAGATGTAAGAGTAAACCCGTCCACATTGCTATAATTGGGATTTAGTTTTGGCTACAGTGGAAATACCTTGGTTTTTACAAATACACCATTGTGGGATGTTTTAGTCACCCAGGTGTGTGTTTCCTAAAGATGATACCTCGCACTGCTAAAGTTGCAGATCCTTACACTCTTCTCTCATGGTGCTTTCTTGTTCTAACCCTAACGCTATGCTCACCTTAACCCTAATGTCCTGAAGAAGTGCAACACTAGAGAACTCATGTGCTGTGCTTTCTTGTAAGTGAGCTCTACTCCTCTTACAGTACTTCCCTGTGAAGTGCATTGTTACAACAGAGTTCTTACTGTTGTAAAAGCATTGCAGTTTTGCTCTGTTTTTTAAAAATCTGCATTCCTTGGGACTATATGATCTGCTCTTCTGAGGCAAGCAACTTCAAAGACATATGAGTAAATCTTTACAAACTGATGTATACTGGATTTACTTTTCCCCATAGTAGAACATTAAGTTTTGCAAACATGCTACTGCGTTATGTTTGAGTCACCTGTGTGTGTGTTTTCTAAAGATCAACTGTGTGCTGATCATGTTACAGACACCCATGCTCTGCTATTGCATTTTATTCTTGTGTAAAGCCTAACCCTGACCCTGACCCTAACCCTAATGTCCTTGTGCAGTGCTAAAAAAAAAAAAATCATTTGCCTGCTTTCTTCTAATCAATCATAGCTTCCCTTATAGTAACTTCAATGCAGGAAATTTAGTGTGCATAATTTTGCATTACTATAGCTGAATATCTTAAAATTAAGAAAAGATGCTACCTAAGCCATTACTCAATTTGTAAAAATACCATATCTTAAGTCAGTGACTTACAAACCCTAGTCCACATATTTTCAGTTTTTCCCCAGGAGGTCAGCCCTAGATGTTAGATTGTATGCTTTAAAACATTTATATGAGACCATTACTTACATCATTATTTAGCATACATAAATAAATTTTCTAAAGTATTTAATGGATGCCAAGTCTTAAATCTGCCAAAAATTAGTCATAGACTTGTGGTGAGTTGATATTTTTCACTGACTAATAGTGATGCAATGAGGAGAGTGAGTGGGATCCAAGAATGACACCTTTGCTTGCCTTTCAAACAGGACTAAAAAAGGCTAAGAAGCTGGCAGGGAGGGCAGAGGTGGATGCGGTCCAATCTAGCACCACCTAGTGGGAATTTAGAAGAATGCATGGTTTTTAAAAAGTGCTTTGCAAAGCTGCTGAATGTCAGGTGAAACAGGGTTCACTCAAAAGTCTGCTGGGTGACAGATAAGCTCCTCAGAGGAACTCCTCGTGGTGATACAACATTCTTGGAGCTGGGTTCTCAAAAAACTTGGAACTGGAACTTTTATGAGCCCCAGCTGTTGCACTTCTGGGTATTTATCTAAAGGATTCTATATGCTGGCATAGAGAGACTTGCACATCCATGTTTATGTCTGCTCTATTCACAACAGCGGAGAAATGGAACCAGCCTCAA